CAGTCAGATACGCTTGATCTTTCTGCGCTCAGCAAGCCCACTTGAAAAGTAAGGAAAGCAGGGCACTTGCAGTTGAAAACTCCTCACAAATGTCATCTAGTAATGCTTCTCAATGTAAAAATCCACTTTGCATTGATTTACGTATCAGCAGGCACCCTGCAGTCACGGGAATTGCAAAACAAGCCCTGTGCCTTCCAATGCCAAAGGAAGCCCTCATGACATAAGCTCCTTGGTCATCCCTTCAGTTACTTCTGAGCTGAACTGGAGGATGGAAACTTTCACCCCACAGTGTATCATGACTTTTATGTAGGGATTTAGGGAACCACTGAGCTCTGTGGTTTTTTTGGAGGATCCCAAATGACAGACATCCAGTAAACCTGAAGTAACTTGCTTTCAAGTACTTTCTCTCTGTAGCATGTTTAATTTAATTAGTGTCAGATAGAAATGTAGTTCGTTTTAATTTAGGGGAGAGAAGCCCACATGTATTGCCTCCCATGGCAACAACATTTCATCACCCTGCCTGTAAGACAGGTACACTACATAAGCTAGTAAGAAGGACAGAAGAGAAAATAGACACTTATTTTATTCATAGTACCAGTGTAATAAAAATTAAAAGGTGTCTTAGCACTACAGATGTGACTCTTGTTTCCCTGCCCCTTCCTGGGTAACCTGCCTTGACAACAGAGTCACCTGGGAATGCTCACCTGAGTCACAGGGACCCAGCATGGCATAAAGGTCTGTGTAAAGGAACTGCTTTGTAGGAACATGGCATAAAGCTGAAAAAAACCAGGAATTACATGCTAGTTTCATTAAAGCTCCTGCTGAAATTCCCACGTAAGCCTTGCAGAGATAAGATTTCAGCTGTGTCGAAACACACTTGCAAAAGACCCACTTTCCTGAGGAAGTTTCCAAGAGTTATTGTAACAGAACCAATATCCAGTAATGAGGACTCTTGTCAAATAGATAAGATTATATAAACTCTTCCACTAAATTCAGCCCCTCTTCCAAACTGTTAACAGCCTTTACTGCAGATTGCTACAAAGTCCCGGAGTTCCTTTTCTCACAAACTCATCCTCTACCCTAAAAGCGAATTATGATATTAACACACGCTTAATCTTTCTGCTGCTAGATTATGTGAAGGGTGAAGATGGACAGGCAAGACAGGTTTCTCTGCCCCTGTGTGTGTGGCTCAACTCACCAGATGATTCTGCCCATGGGACAGGTCCACAAAGCCCAGCCCTGATCTAGAGACTCGCCCAATTCTGTACCTGCTGCGCTTCTGCGATACTGAGCCGAGGTCAGTACGAGCAGGAGCTCTGAATGCACTGAAGAAGCAAACAATAATATCAGTAATAACAGGCACAGACTGCCGAGAACATCTAAGGAGAGAACATTGCCCGAAGGATGGTCCTTATTAAAAGTCCCAAATACTAATGGCAGTAAAAGGCAGCCACCTTAATGTGATTTAACCCAGTGCTCTCACAAAACACTTCTTCTTTCAGCTCAGCAAAACACCTGGTGCTCTTAAGATCCAGGGCGCAGCCAAGGCTGTAGCGAGATCGTATCAATCTTTGTGAGCCTCAGATAAGCCTCGATTTTCACTGTGCTTTAAAAGAAAAAAAAAAAAAAGATGATTGCGGAGAGTGCACTGAGATCACCCTGAAGACAGGTCTGTGTTTTCTGAGGGCTTGTCCCTTTTACCAACCGCAGTAGCCGCTCTAATGACAGACCCCACTGCTCTCCACAGACTTCATCTCTCCTCAAGTGGAACTCGGCTGTGGTACAGGAAAAAAACCTGCAAAGCAGTTCAGAGGCTGCCATCCACCACCAAAGGCTTTGGGAAGCACCTGTAACCTGCTGCTGTCCAAACACCAAAGTATAATGCTGACCTGAAACACCTCAGAAGCTCCAAGGTGTAAATTCATCTCCAAAAGAGAGGTTCCCCGGGCAAAAGGACACCATGGGACCTCTCCATCACTTTTGACAGCTGCTCCATCCTTCCCAAACACACTGGCTGGGAGAGGAACACCTGGCAGAGCAGCCCAGATGTCCCACTCTCCAGTACAGAGGGCAAAGAGCTATGGCCACCCCATTCCATGGCCACCCCATTCCACAGCCACCCCATTTCACGGCCACCCTGCTCCTTTCTACTCAGCTCTTTGGTGTTTTCCTCCTGACTACACACTTCTTGTGAGCACTTATCCACAGTTTTAACATCATTTGTAGCCAAAGCTGGGGTTGAAAGGAAAGGTTCACAGCATTCCTGAACAGAAAATGCCTAAATAATGCTGAAAATTCAATATATTACTGCTTTTAACACCAGGCTGGCCACCACAGTAAGCCTGCACACCGTGTTCCCACTATGCCCGTTCCCAGTTCTGACTTTCCACATATTAAAATTATTACAATATTTTCTATAAATTTTGTTATTCGGATCCATCTCTGGCAACTCTGAGTAATTTGTCTCCACCTACATTTCATTTTGAAGCCATTGCTTCCATTTCACCTGAAGAAGAGCCTATCTCCTGAAACACCTGCCTGATTTTTCCAGCAGTACCTGTAGCCTAAGAGAAGTTATTACTTCTATTTACAGACCTTCTCCTGGTTGATAGGAAAAGATTTATGATCAAGAAGTGCAATGGGATTGCATAAATGTGACAAAATCTCAAAGGATAACGTTCTTTAACCAGGAAAGTTGACGGAAGGGCTTTTCTTTAGGCTGCTGAAGATGTATTTTAAAAAACAATCATGAGTCTTTCCTTCATCCCATTCCTCAAACTGCCAGTGAAAAATCTCTTGGAAACTGGTAAATCGAAGTATAAAAACAAACCCAGAAGATATTCAGCAGACCAAATCCTTGTCTTCTACTGAGCACTGGCAGAAGACACTTGAACCAGATTTGCCCTACTGTATACTATCAAGTTTGGATTAAACAGAGCCAAATCCAATGAAAATTACTATTTCTATAAAGGATAAATAAGGCTATGTCCTGGATGACAAAAATAAGAGCTAAATCATGCTTCAGGTCACAACACTGACAACTTAGATGAGTTAAAAACACATTCCCAATCTACTTTCCTCTTTGCTGTCCAACGGGGCAGATTTGCCGCTGTAGCATCATGCTTAGGCATCACCAGTGCCAGAGAAAAAGCAGCATGAATGACCAGATCAGCATGATACATGCTCTGAAATTATACCAGGTTAAAAACTGGAGGAGAATACATGCTTTTAAAGTATAATGTTCAAAACCCTTGCGAGCTTTTCCAATTTTTGACATCTCAAAGCTTTACTGAGCTTTCACCAGGGAGGACATGTGATTTAATTAGAGCACGATACAAAAGCATGGCATTCCCAAACCATGTTCCCAGCTCTGCCACTGCCTTGCCACATGACCTTGGGAAATCAGCTGTGATGCCCTGAGCCCCCATTTACGCCACAATTTGAAGAACAGGTTGGGAATGCCTCTGTGTGTCCTCTTCCACAAGGAGCTGTGAAGTGTAATTAAATTCCACCCAGCGCTTTGAAATTGTCAGAGGGAAAGTGCTATATAAACCCCTATTAATTAAGCTTGCATTTAATATTCTGGGAAATAAATACACTATTGCAGGAGGGCAGCTCTTAGTGATTGTGCAGCCACAGAGCTTCAGAGGGAGTCAGCTGCCGACCACAGAACTGACACAGGCAACATGAGAGGGAAGAAGCCCCCCAAAAAACAGCTTATGGCTTAATACATTCTAACATACAACATTTTGTAACAAATTCTAAGTCCTCATCCTGCTGCTGTGGAAGTCCATGAATCACTAATTCACTACCTGCCACCAAAATCAACTCCAAGCCGCACACCAGACCACGTCAGTATGAATGTGAGGCACACCAGGAACCATGCAATAGCAAGGTGGAAGGGAACACTTTTCATCATGATTTCACATCCCATTAGTGTCTTGATTAATACTAAATGTGGCAACCCTTCTCAGTGCTCTGCTCTGGTCACCTTTCCCACTCCTGTCCCCAGATGCAGGCTGGCACAGCTGTGCTTCCCCATGGCAGGGTCGCTCTAAATTTGGGCTGACCAAGTAGTTATGTTTTAGCAAATGCAAAGTCAAGGTCTCTTACATTTCTGCAAATACTCCTATATTTACGTGGTTACGTGCCAATGCAAAAATTACAGATAAAAAAATGAACGTAGCTAGCGCAGGGTTTGCCTAAAGCAGCATCTACATCAGCACACCCAAAGAGACGGTGAGCTGCAAACACATTGTAACTTTGCTGGAGCTGTGCAGTCTTCTCACTCATTGCTTCGCACTGCAAGAAAGGGTGAAATTAACTCCGGCACCAAGGATAACTCGACGCCACGCAGTCCTGAACTAGCCCTCTAAACAGTCACCTAACAGAGGGACCACAGATAAGCAACTGCAGACTGTTCTTTCCATATTTTCTCAGCCACAGGATTAGCATCACCCAAATCACAGTCACTCCCTCACGGCTTTCCCAGTACCTTTGCCACAGACTTTAAAGTGTCACAGAATCGCAAAAACTTTGAACCCCTGAATGGAAACGGTTGCGAGTCTGATCATTACAAAACTAAAGAACAAGAAGGAGGGGTAATTAAACAAAAAAGAAGAATATTAGAAAAGAAGATATTAGAAACGTAAATTAAGACAACTGATTGTCAGAGGCGTCTCACAAAAAGAAGGAAGGGGGAAAAGAAGGATTTAAATTGATAGTAGCGACAGCGATCTAAGTGCGGGAGGGGACAGGGGAAGGACCGCCGGGGGATGGACCGCCGAGGGAAGGACCGCCGGGGGATGCTCCGGCGGAGCCCGGCGGGGCACGGCGGAGCCCGTTCCTTGAAGGCACCGCTTTGGCACGGACTCCTAGGCGCGGCAGGGAGGGACGAAGGGTTGGATGGACGGAGAGACGGACGGACGGACGGACGAACGGTCGGACGGACGGATGGATGCATGCACGCCCGCACGGACGGGTGGAGTGGGGTCTCTCACCGCTGGAGCGCCGGACGATGTTCTCCAGGAAGGTGTTCTGCGGTGCCACCAGCCCTCTCTTGCCCCCCGGCATCCTGCAGCGCCGGGCTCGGGGGCCGGGGGTGCGCGGCGGCAGCGGCGGCAGCGGCGGCGGCGGCGGCGGCGGGGGCCGGCGGCGGCGGGAGCGCCCGGTGCCCGTGAGGAGTCGCGCAGGGGCGGCCGCGGCCGCTCATGGTAGTGGCGCCCCCGCGGCGGCTGCAGCGCGGACTGTGGGGCCGCGCCGCGCTCCGCGCTCCTGCCGCCGCTGCCGCCCGCCCTGCGCCTGCGCCGGCCGGGGACGAGGGGACAGGAGGGATCGGGGAAGGGATGGGAAGGGATGGGAGGAGGGGGTGGAGCGGCGCGGAGGGGCGCGGGGACCCGCGGAGCCCGCGGGGAGTCGGCGGAGGCACCGCGCCCCGCCGAGCATCCCCCGCCCCTCCCCATCCCTTCTCCGGGGATCCCCCTGCGAAGTTCTGCCCTGTGCCCCCTGAGCGAAACTAAGCGAAACACCAAGACCCCTGTTTTTGCACCCATAGGTTTGATTTTTTTTTTTTTTTTTTAAACCAGCGTTCCCGTCTTTGGGGAAAACTCTTGGGAACATGCCTGTGTTGCACAGAGGAAGGGCGGCTGCGCTTTGCCCTCAAATGATAACCGCGAAGTGCGAGGTAACGTGTAAAATGCCACCCATTCCATCAGCCTTGCCTGAAGACATCAGCCTTTCAACCTTTCTTTTCTTTTTTTTTTTTTTTTTTTTTTAGGATTCCTCCCTCTCTACGTTAGGGGCAACAGGAGGCAGATTTGGGGCTGGAGACGTCCTTTCTGTCGTTTTATTCAGGGACCCGGCTCGGCTGTGCCGGAGCCCCAGAGAATCAGGTGAGTCGATGCCTTGAGACACCGCACTCGAGTTTCCGTGTAAGCTCTGCCCTGCTCCTGACCCAGCCGCCTTCCTCCCTCCAGCCTTTTCATGACTCGGACAGTATTTTTTAAAGCTATGGACAGTAAAATCCTGGAATTAATTTCTCCACCTATTGCTTCTGCCTCTGCTAATTTTGCATGCTGCTGCAGACAGGAAAGGATCGTAAGAAGGAACCAAGAGATGGAAAAATCAGTGTCTGTCCAGAGTAGGACAGTGCTCTGCAAAGCACACCCCGGTGTGCTGCGCATTCCTGCCCTGGTTGGCACAAGCAGCCGTGTTTCTCCCAGAGGACATCATTCCACTGTGGAAAAATCAATTTATTTATTTTTTCATCCTGTTTTCAGCACCTGCTCCTTCCCGTGCTTGAGTCATGGTTCAACATGTCACACTGAGGTCACCTGAACTCCTCTGCTTAAAGTTTAAAATCTCTACCACACTGGGAACATTTTCAGGACCAGCTCTTTCCCAGCTGCCAGTACTGCTGTCCCTGGAAAAGGTCTGGTTCTGATTTCATTTAAACAAATGCAAATCAGGAGCAGCTCCATTACAATCAGCTTGGGAATGGTGATAGAAAACTAGGACGAGAGGCGAAAGAGACCCAATTTGTCAAACATTTATTGGTTTTCCCCCAGGTCTGAAATCTTCAGGGCTCTCCTTGGAGTGATGTGGTTTAAAAGAAGCTCCTGCTGAGCACTGCCCCAGGTACAGGGAAATTTTGCTCCTGGTAATTGAAGGATGGAGGGTAACACCTTCATTTTTGCAAGTGAGCAGTAGCCATCTAAAACATCTGTGCACAGACAAATCAGTCCGGACAGTGTTGCCAGGACTTCTGCTCCCCAATTCCCTCAATCCCACCCAATCTGAAAACAGTTTGAGTTTTTCTACTCATTTCCCAACGTTGTTTTGAAACATAAATTTGTTTACTTATCCCCTGCCCCCTTTTCACTAACTCATCAAACCCCTTTCTGTTTACCTTTTCCCACTAAACATCTCTGTTCTGATGTGGCAGTCATGCCTAAGAGTCACTTCATCCTCCCTGCTTCATCTCATCAGCTTAATATCTCACTAGTAAGTTCTGTTGCTGTATTTCCAATGCCACTAATTAAACAATAGGTTATGAAGAGGGACAAGCTCCAAAATCATATCTTTAAATATCACAGACGTCATATAGAAAGGGCAGGACATGGGGTGGAATTCTTGCCTCTATATCAAGGTTGCAAAAAAACTCCAGAGGACATGTCTTTCTTTTCCTGGAATGCTGGATGAGGCTAAAGATAACCTTGAAAAGAAGAGTCTGACAAAGAAAGCAAACTGGGAACTTGTCTTCTTTTGGGAGTCTTCAAACTGTGCTTGGAAAAATATCAAGTCACCATGCAGGAAATGTCAGAAAGGTTTGAGGTCAGTGTTAAGTAGGGAAAAGGCATCTAAGCAGTTTCATTTCACATTAAAAATACCACAGTCTCAACCAGCTGTTCTTAAATGTGACAGAAAATCCACTGTGATACAAAAAGCTTTTTTTACTTGTTATCCCAGAATAGGTAAGTCAACACATTTTCAATTTTAAGGAATTAATTAGTCGTTAAAACATTTTTAGAAAAAGAGTCTAAGCTAAATGTAACAATTCCTGATGGGAAGATCAGAAGACTCCTAGTTCTTCTTTCTTCCTGGCTTGCAGGCTTTATTTCCTGAAGGGAAGAAACTAGCATTCCTTTCCTAAAAGGAAAAAGGCAGAAAGGGAAAGAACACATTGCTGTAGTGGAGTAAAAGTAATCACGAGTCCTTCCTCGTCTGCTTCACTATTTCTTTTCTTCTGAAATTTGAAACACCTGCTCAGGGTGATTTACCTCCTTGCTGGTATTTCTACAAAAGGCACAGTGCTCAATACCCAGGCAGCACTAGGCAAGGATCGACTCCCACAGCAAGTGGAGACAGTGCACACTATAAAGTGCAGCTACATATGCTGAAGAGCTGACCCTCTGAATCTAAACCTACAGGAGAGGGTTATTTTACTTCAGGGACTATTAAACATTTCAGAACTGGTTCTTATGCATGGCACAGAGCTTTAAGTGTATCTTCCATGAATGTATTAATTGAAGAATCATCACTCAGGGGACTTCTAGAAGAGAAGGGAAGCATAGACCAGCATAAACAGGTCAGGCACTGATCCACCCCAATGGCCTGAGTCATTAGAACATTGGAGCTGCTGAACAGACTCACATTTCATTTGCTTTCAGTGTTGTGTGTAATAAGATGAGTCAGGTTCCTTGGGACCACCCTGGGCTCCCAGTGAGACTCACCCACATAGGTTTAAAATTACTGCAAGCATAACTGAGGGATGGGATACTCCTGGCAAGGCTCAGAGCTGTTTTCTAACCCAGGTGCACACAGAAGACCTCCCATTCTAAAAATCATAATCAAGATGACCACAAGCTTTGGTTGTAAACAAAGGATTTGTAGAAATTGGTATTTGAACTCCAAATTAGCAGTGTTTGATTTCCAATGTGTCATGTCTCATGACTTACACTGTATATTGCTGAAACAAGGGCTCAAGTGGGAAACAGATGCCAGAGAGAGATGTTTGAAGCAAGTTAACTGTGGGAAAAGCAGGTACACTTTGCTCCCTAAAGTCCAGAGAATCTGCACTGAAGAATGTGACACAAGAGATTTTCTGGTAACTGTGAGGCATGAGAACCTTAATAAATCTGTCTCCATGAGTAAAGTACACTTGTTGTGTGCTGGAGCACAAAAACAGGAGAGGTCGTACTGCAACTTTCTTCTCTTCAGCAGGGAGGACTGTAAGGTCAATTCTTTTACTGGCTCCAAAAACGCTGCCCAAGAACCATCAGGAACCTTCAGGAAGCAAGCTAGCATCTCTGAGCCCACCATCCTGCTCACCATAAAAGTGGAATCTGAGTTTCAGAGTTGCTCAGGGGATGGCATCAGATCTGCTTATATATGTGACAGCATTGCTGCATTTCGTTCAGACAGTAGCCTTCAGAAAGAAGGAAATACCTCTGCCCATAGCAGCACCTGATAATGTCTGAAAAAAACATACTTAGGAGGAAAAGAAAAAAGGTGGGGGGAGGGAATAAATTACAGTTTCTTTCCTATTTTGGGCAGTTTGTTTCTTACCCCATTACAAATTTGAAAAAGCACTTTGGCAGACAGGAAATCAATAAAAACTTGACAAAAGTTGTTGCTTTTGGTATAAAAATTGATGGAAAGTATTGATGAAACCTCAGAGCCAAAGTACTTGCTGGATTCTGATTTGGCACCAATGAGAATTCTTTATTCTCTGTTGTGTTGGGCAGGTTAAGCCTGGACAACTAGACCTGGAGGTTATGGATCTCCTGTCCATTAATCTCTGGCAGTCCAAAGCAAAGGGATGCAGAACCTATGGGAGGCAACAGCATTCGGAGAGGGTTGGATCGCTGAGTCAAGCACACAGGAATCAGGAAGAATTAAGGCTCCCTGTGTATCATGCACCTAGGATGCACTCAGGATGGCTCAGCTAAGCCTTTCCTTTTTATACTTCTCATTCAGCATGGCCCTGTGCCACATTCCCGGGACACCAGCCAACCTCTGCTCAACTATGGCACAATTAATTTTTTTCGTGGCGCTCATCCCTAATCTGCTGGTGCTTTGTAGGCACCATTGAGCATCTTCTACATTTTACCTCGTCATACCGGGATCAGACAGGAAACTGGGGCACAGGGAGATTAAGGTCAAAATTGTCTGGTAAATCATAGTGTCCAACTTGAGACATCCAGGATCCTTTAATGGAGGAGTCCCAGTACAGTAGAAGATTATATTTTCAGTATCTGGTGACTTCAGTTATAGCTGTGAGGGCAAAGCATGTCTCCAGATCACAATCTGTGCATTCCCCACAAGCTTATAAAAAAATATAAGAATGGGGAGGTGGTAGGCACTAGGTTTGAATGACTTGCACAGCTTCATGGAAGAGCCCTGTTTAACTGGAGATTTAACAATTCCAGCTCTTGCTTGCTTTTACCATGACACTTTTTATAGTCCTTGCCTTATTGGTCCATGCCTTTCATTTTCTCAAGCGAGCACTCCAAAGATATTACAGGCCAAAGTTGCACAGAAATTGGAAGACAGTGTGGGGGGTTATATATACACATATATGAAATAGTGTGGGGAATGTAACTAAAGACTGTGCTGCAATGTGTAGACATAAGGG